ATCCCTTCCCCACCCACCCTCTGACTCCACCATCCTTAGCAGCTGCAAAGCCTGGCACACCCCAGGCCCCAGTCAGAGGAAGGAGAGCAGGGAGACCGGAGCTTCCTGGGGGAGCCAAGGCTCTGGGCTGTACCCTCCCCTCCTACCAGGCTGAGGCTGGTGATTAGCTGCGTTAATTATATCCAAGCCATTTCCGATTGGCACAAGCCCACCCACCCACAGAGCCTGCCCAGAGGCGTGCAGGCCTGGCCCAGGATGCTAGGGTGCCAGCTACTCTGGGAGGGGTCCTGATCCCTGCAATGGTCAAATGGAGGGTGGTGGTCCTCCCCTCTCCAGGATCCCCACATCACATCCTACCTTCATCCTCCGTTTTGCCCATCCCCAGACAAATCCCTTTCCCTTCCCTCCCCTCTCCTCTCCTCCCCCAGGTTTGGAATGAAATCATGGGGCTCTGAGTTCCGCACGAGGCCCCGACATAAACACTCTGATTGGGACTAATTATAAGGGCCAGGTTGGGAGGCTGGAGCCTTCAGAAAGCTTGGCTTTCAAACAAAGGACCCAGTGCTCAGCCCCCAGCCCAGGCCGGCTCCTCTCCAGGCTTCATGAGAAATAAGGAGGGGTCCCGGGCCCAGGCCATCTTCTCTGAACCCAGTCAATGGTCTGTGAGCTTGTTCCATGTCCCAAGTCCTATCTTGTATTTTCTCAATTGCTTTCACTTTGGACCTTCCAGGCCTCAAATCCCAGGGTCTTCCCAGATGGCTTAGGAGAGTCGCAAGCCTGCATTGGAAGGTAAGGCAGCTGGGGAGGGGCTTTCAGGCTGTGAGGCTGGGGATGGGGCAGAGCAGGGGGAGGGGTACATGCAGGGGAAGCCAGCTGTGACAGCCCTAGCTCTAATTAGCCAGCTTCAAAGCCGGCCAGAGAGAAAGCCCGCCTGCGTGTGTGCTCTGCTCACTCAGGCGGGTAAGATATTTCTGTCCTAATCAGAGGAGAGAGAGGGAGAAAAACCCTGCCTACCACTACCCCTGGAATTGTGAGCTGGCACCCCAAGGCAGGTAGAAAAAGTGGGAGCACAGGAAATCATTCTATTTTGTTAAAACTACTAGCAGGGAGGATATAGCTCAAGTGGTAGAGTACATGCACAAGGTCCTGGGTTCAATCCCCAGTACCTCCATTAAAAACAAATAAATAAATAAACCCAATTCCCACCACCAAAGGAAACAAACAAACAAAAAGTACTGTTTGAAAAAAAAACTACCAGTAACTCTAAGTCAAAAAGTCCTTAAGACATGCCCATCCTTTGATCTGGTGATTCTCATTTTCAGAACTTGTCCTAAGTAATTGGAAGAGTGTTACAATTTATTGAGATTCTGCTATGTGCCGGCTCTGTACATGCATCATCTGATCTAATCTTCACAACAACCTTGTTGGACAGGTACCATCACCTTTTTTACAGATGAGGACTGAGGCTCAGAGGTTAGGAGACTACCACAAGGGCTCACAGCTGGCACTGTCTCATGCCGACGCCTGTAACTCCCCATACATGGCCTGTTTCTTTTTCCTTTTTTCCCTCGACTATAAAAGTACTACACATTCATTCCACTCTGTTGTGTCTTGATACCTGCGGAACAGACAGGCTCAAGTGAATAATCTAGTTTGGAGATGTTCCTGGTTTTGTAAGGTCTGATGGTTTTCCCTCCAGACCCGCCTTTCCATAGCAGAGGGAATTACAGACTGGGGGACGCTGCAGTCTGAGAAGGTAGATTGCCCCAAAAGAAGTAGAGATACCCTGTGATGAAGACTAGGTAGTGTCTAAACCAGGGACTGAAAAACCAGTTTGGGGGTAGGGTGGGGGAGGGGTGTGCACTGATTAGACAGTCCGTAAACCTCCTAAATTTACATGCAAAATTGTGTTCACCAGGATCTGGCCATTTTTTTTCCTCAGGAGGATGTCCAAAGATATTTCAGGTTCTCAAAGGAACCTGAAGGTTGCTTTTCCTCCCCTCATCTGACTCCCCTCCTGAAGATGTTTCCATGTTCTACAAACTCTTTGTCCTCTAAAATGCCCCAGAAAAGGACACTAAGCCCCAGAGGCTTAAGAAGCAATTTCAAGATGTGAATAGTATGTCTGGAGAAGGAAGGGACCCTACTACAGTGATGGGTGAGACTATCAAAGGGATGATGCTTCAGAAGTGGCAGAGCTTGGGCTCTGCTCCCCCAGATGTGCCTGGGACACATCTCCCCACTCCCAGAATCCAGCTCAGATTTGGGACCCCAACTCCCTCTTGGAAAGCTTTTTGGAATAATCTGAAAGTCCACAGCTCCAAATCCCACTGACCCTCACTCTTTGGGGATGTTCAGAAGAATTTTGTCTTGGAAAATCTTAGTGTTCTTTTCTGGGGCATTTTAGAGGACAAAGAGTTTGTAGAAAATGGAAGCATCTTCAGGAGGGGAGTCGGATTGGGGAGAGGAAAAGCAAAAGTCTGATCAAGGAGGCAGGGGAGTCTGGGAGAGAGATGACCTGTTCCTAGAGAACCAGCACCATTGTTCCTTTGTGGGAGGGGGTGCAGAGGGTGGGAGGGCAGGTAGAAAGCATCTGTGGTCTGACACCTGCCCCAAGCCTGGGAGCCTCAGGTGAAGGGCTTTCTTTCTGGGCCCTAGACCCTCCACCAAAGCCTCACTCTTCCAGAGGGAGGGACCAACCTACTTACAAGGAGTAAACCTTTCCTACCTATAGAGCGACCTAGAAATCTACAAAAGCAGACCTCCAAGCCCATGTGTTTGTTTAATTGGCTTTTCCAAACAAGGGGGCAGAGACAGACCCCTCTCTAGGTGTGGCAGTGAGCTCAAGTGGTTTACTTAGGGGTCTCTGCTTCAGGGCACTTTCTCCCCTAAATCCTCTACACTTCCCTCTAAGAGTTGTTTCATTAGAACAATGAGAGCAGACTCAGAGAAAGTTCCCCACTACTTTCTGTAAGGTAATTCAGCCCTTGGCTCCCCCTTTGGAGAAGGGGAGGGCATCTAGAAGATGTATCCTTTCCTAGAGAGCCAATTATCTTATTATCTATCCTCTCTCCACCCCATCATAAACCACCCCCCCAGCTTTATCAAGCCCTCTTCCCCTCCGTTGGCAGACTTTGAGGGAGGAGGGTTGAGAAGGATCTTTAGCAAAATTCCTTCCCTCCCACCCTACTCTGGGAAGGAAAAGGTAATTGTTGCTAGTCTACCATCTCCTCCTGCCATCAGCATGAGGGTCCACTGACAAATTTACCCAAATCCCAGAGAGCTGGGATCTGGGGGCAAAGAGGCAGGGAAGGCGCTTCCCAAATCTTCAACAGACCAGCACTCCTCTTCCCACTGGGCTCCATCCCAGCCACTGGAAACCACCCTGCCCCCACCCCACCCCTTTTGCAAGCTTTGGCCATTCTTTCCAGGAGAGGCGCTCACAATTTGTTTGTAATTTAACTCTTTCCTGCAGCCTTTGTGGGGTTCCTTTAGAATCTTGCAACAAATGGAGCTACGGGCAGTGCCACCTCCCTGGCCAGTTTCTTTGATAGCTAAAAGAATTTCAGATTGGGACTTCATAAATAATATTATTTGAGAAAAGATTAGCTTTAACTTATGATGTTGGTCAATTGCACAAACGATTTGAGGGAGAGTTATATATCTTGGGAAGGGGCTCCGCTGAAGTCCCCAGGTCCCACTCAATTCCAAACAAAGCCCCACATACGTGTTCAATTACCACCAAACATTTCCAGGTCCCCTCCCCCAACATAAACTAACACACACAAACACTTCGAAGTAGCGGTTCTAACTTACTTTCTCTCTTATCCCAAAGACTGCCAACAAAGGGTGTTAAGGCACCATTTTCCCCTATCACCTTTCAGCTAAAAGAGCAAGGTCTGGGGCAGGGAACTTCTCCACCCCACCCCCAACCAACTAGGTCAGGGGGAGATGGAAGGTGTGGTTTGGTTAAACTAATAAAAGGTTACAACCCTGTTAAATACAATTAAAGGGCTAGATCTCTAGAAGATAATTAAATGCACTTTATTATTATGATTATTAGCTTTTAATTTGCACCATTATCAAGAAACAGGAGATGGTGAAAAGTTGAGTTAAAGTTTAGTGTCAAACTTGTTTCACTCCAACCCTTGGTCTACCAATCAATCCTTTGGAATTAAAATTATAAAATAGTCCAAATAGCTGACGGAAATGATATGTATTGGAAACTCTCATACCAGCGTCAAAGATACTTTAAGCAACCTCTTGACTTTTATTTGTGGGGGGTAGGGGAAAGATAAGAAACATCTGTTATAAACATTCTATCAATCTTCTGATATAGAATGTCATGTAAACACTCAACCCCACCCCCACGGTCACAAAGAGCCTGCCCAGAACCTTCTTCCAAAGCAAAAATACCCCCACCGCTTTCTGAACAAGTTTGAAAAGAAACTAGTCTTTTGTCAAAGGAAAACTGAAAGTCCCACCAGTCCATCCATCTCCTCCCTCCTACCCAACCCATTTTATTGCTTTTTGGGGAAACAAGCAAACAAACAAACCTAACAACAGAAGTCCACATATAACACACAAGCCACCCCACAAACTGCTAAACTGAATGGCCAGAGGAAATATTCAGTTTTGGGGGGGCGCGGTTGCCGGGGAGCGGGCATAGAGCCGACTGAAGAGGAAACGAGATACAAGAGCATCTCTAAACCCCAACATTTGCAAGCTAATGCTCCCTCTAAAAGTGGAGGCAGTCAGGATGGGTATTCAACGTAATGTATGTGTATGGGGTAGGGGGTGTTTTGTTTTAAAACACACTTCACAAAGCACTTTCTGCCCACTCCAAGCGCTTCGGGCAGCGAGTTGAAAAGAAAAAGTCGGAGGAGAAAGATCTTCCTGCCTGCAATGGGGGTGGGCCGGGGCGGGGTGGGGGGGAGTCCATTCCTCACAGGATCTCCGCCCTCTCCCCACCACCCCACCCGTCGGCTAGGGTGTTCCCCCCCCCCACGTCTTCATCTCCGTTGGGAGGTTTCCAAAGATCGAGTGAAGGAGACAGGACAAGTGAGGAGAGAAGAGGGGAAAGGGAAATAAAACAAAATGAAACAAAATGAATCCAAGTCTTGTTAAAAAATATCCAACAGCTTCGACAGGCCCAGCGTCAGTGAGAAGGCTCAAAAATGTGGCTATAGAAGTTGACGGTAACTCCCAACTCCTCACAGCCAACACCTCTTCCAGCAGACCTAGCCCTGTCAAATCACCAAAATATTCGAACCGAAGTAGGGGGGTGGTGTTTGAAAGGGCTCTAAAGGGAAGAACCCCCTCTACTCCCCTTCCCCCATTCCTCAGCCCTGGCGCCCCTCTCCACTTTTTTTTTCTTTTTGTTTTAAATAGAAAATATATAATTAAATTTACAAAGACTATTTACAGTTTTAATTACAAACCTGATGGGGAAGTTGGGCAGAGTTCCCTTTAAAAAGCGACCTGAAAAAGAAATGGTTTCGATCGTTCTTTATTTAAAAAAATAAAATAAGGAGTCTGTAGGAACCCCCCACCCCGGGCAGAGAGCGCAGTGCGGGGGCCCCGGCTGGGGACGCCGCGCAGGGGCGCCCGCTCACACGGTGGTCTCGCCGTGCCGGCTGTTGGTGAGACGCGTGTAGAACTTCCTCCACGAGTGCAGCGTCTTACCGGACCAGATCCAGAAGCCCGACGTGATGCCCACGATGAGCGTCATGAGGTATTTGATCATGTAGACTGTGAAGTCGGGCGACATGCGCGGCGTGTAGTGCGCCGGGCACGGGATGGCCAGGCTCTTGCAGTGCTGGCTCACCCACGAGCGCTCCCAGTGCTCTCGGAAGGCCTGCTCGTAGAAGTAGCAGGCGATGACGATGGTGGCGGGCACGGTGTAGAGCACCGAGAAGACGCCGATGCGCACCATGAGCCGCTCCAGCTTCTCTGTCTTGGTGCCGTCGTGCTTCATGATGGTACGGATGCGGAAGAGGGACACGAAACCGGCCAGGAGGAAGGACGTGCCTATGAACAGGTATACGAAGAGCGGCGCCAGCACGAAGCCCCGCAGCGGGTCCAGGCTGTTGAGGCCCACGAAGCACACGCCGCTCAACAGGTCGCCGTCGATCTGGCCCATGGCCAGGATGGTGATGGTCTTGACAGCGGGCACGGCCCACGCGGCCAGGTGGAAGTACTGCGAGTTGGCCTCGATGGCCTCGTGGCCCCACTTCATGCCCGCCGCCAGGAACCAGGTGAGCGACAGGATGACCCACCAGATGGAACTGGCCATGCTGAAGAAGTAGAGCATCATGAAGAGGATGGTGCAGCCCTCCTTCTTGGTGCCCTGCACCACCGTGCGATAGCCGTCCTCGGAGAAGCGCTCGTTGCACACTACGCGCTCCTGAAGCACGAAACCGGCGATGTAGGCTACCGACACCATAGTATAGCAGCCGGACAGAAAGATGATGGGCCGCTCGGGGTAGCGGAAGCGCTGCATGTCCACCAGGTACGTGGTGACGGTGAAGAAGGTGGAAGCGCAGCACAACACCGACCAGGTGAGGATCCACAGACGCGCAAAGCGTGTCTCCTCCTGCGAGAAGAACATGGAGCCATCGGGCCGGGCCGGCTCGCAGGGTGCCGCGCAGTCGCGCTCGCCGAGGAATTTGTAGCTGAGATAGGACGGAGCCTTGAGGACACGCGGGCAGTGGAACGGGTGCTCCAGCGTGGCGTAGCGCGGGGGCGAACCGCCGCCGCCCGGGCCG